AATTAATTATTTCCCAATAGATTAAGTGTAAGTTAACCCAAAGTGAAACATTGTGTCAAAACAACCATTACACGCAAAATATTAATTAATTATGAAGTTATTTTGGACTAACAATTATTTTGAGAAAATTAAGTGCAAATAAATTGTTTGTAACTGATGCACTAATAAATTTTGTGATTTAAATGTTTTGTGGTTAAACCAATAAAATGTCAAAATATTATATTATGCTAAAAATATCTATTTTATGTAAACTAAAGCAATAACATTAAATTTTAAGTTTACTTTCAATAAAAAATTAATGTGACTCTGGTTTAGGTGTTATGCATATAATTTTGATATTTTTCACAATTTAGTTTTATATTTATTATAAGTTTAAAATCTATTAAGCATTTCTAATTATCTGAAATAATTCAAATTTTTCTTATCTTTTCGGCTATTTTCTTAACTGAATTAATAATTTGTATTCAATTAAATATACATTTAATTAACTTACAATACTGATCATATAAATTCGAGATATTCGTGCAAAATAATAAGATTTTAAATAATTAATTTTATAAAACTACTATATTTTTGTAGACCAGCATAAACTTTATTTGATAAAACTATCTTTAAATAGTATTTTTTTCAATAAATAGTATTGAATTTAATAAAATTAATGCAATTAATCATAATTATATACAAAAACATATTATAAAAACTTATAATTAGGAATATTTATGCATTTAATGCGATTTATGTCCAAGGACATTTCAATATCATCCTCAGACGCCGGGAGGACAATGTTCTGAGGGGTCGACAGGCGGACAATCCTCCCCACGGAGGACGTTCTGGTCACCCAAACTGGTGGGCATGTGGTTAGGGCTGCCGGTGTTGACCTTTTTCCACATCACCACCGGTTCATTGAGCGCCAGAATGAGGTTCCCAAAAGGATTCACCAAAACACCAGTCCCTTTGCACAGCAATACTTAAGTTTGTTATAATTTTTTCTACGTTTTAATAAAATAACATACCATGATCAGCCCTCGCATAATTAGTGCTTCAAGAATTAAAAGTAATAAAATATCAAATGACCAAGGTATGAATAGAAAAACAATCGATATTTGAATAATAATTTTTGAATTATGAAAACTTGAAAATATTTTTATTATTTATATTAAATTATAATTAGTGATAATAAATAAAATTCCAATAATTACATTTGCCAATATTTATTTTTACAGAGCTCATGTACACTTAATTATTATTCGAGTATTCGATGTCTAGTAATTAGGCCTAGCAATCATTCCTATGTATTTAAGAATTTAAGTGAATATTCTCTAACTTCCCTTCAATTCCATCATATTTTCTATTAAAACTTAATTATTTAGAAATTTAGTGAATAGTCTCTAACTTCCATTCAATTCCTTTGTATTTTTCATTAATATATTTAGCGATAAACACGATGTCAAAGTGAAACTATCATGTTTCCAAAATAAATTTTTATTGATATCATATTGATTTACAATGATTCTAATGACACATGATCAAAAAATTATTTTTCAAACTGTAAGGATTAATGTAATATAATTTAATATTAATCACTATTATTTATTTTAAGGTTATTAATGTAAACGGTTATAAATAAAAATGTCTCGAGTACATGTGAATTAATAATAAGCTCATAAGCTACAGATCATTAATCCGGATTTAAGAATTTAAGTGAATATTCTCTAACTTCCCTTCAATTCCATCATATTTTATATTAAAACTTAATTATTTAGAAATTTAGTGAATAGTCTCTAACTTCCATTCAATTCCTTTGTATTTTTCATTAATATATTTAGCGAAAAATTTGTAATCATTTTGTTGAATGAGATTTAGGGATCCAGTCGAGAGTCTGAGCTTTAAATAATTTTATTAGATGTGAGTTATATTAAGTTTACTAGCTGCGAATATTAATCAGGGTGCTATCATTCCGGGTATATTAATTACTATAATTGCTAAATTCACCAAAAAAAATTTGGCAAATTAATATTTTAATATAAATATATAAATAATCACTTATTTGTTTATCAAAGTGAATAATTTGCACGTTTGTATACATTGCCAATTATTTATTATAAAATAAAGTATCCATGACAATACTATTAATATTTCATAATAGTCCTTTTATGTTAAAATAATTTGAAATTCGTTTAATTATTACTCAATAATGCAAATCTAATTGTATGTATATCTTGTGTGACCTAACTTTTATTACCTGTGATAATGGACATTGCGGTTGACGTATAGCAACGGGTATAGTGTATATTATACGGTTTGGTAGACTCCGTGACGAGTCCCTACGGCGTTCACCAAATGATACCCGCCCTACATGTCCATCGAGAGGGTCGCCTACTTTTCTCAAGAATCTCGACAAATATTCACTGTTTATAAAAGTTTTATTGATAGCAAAGCATACGATGAAAAGCAATACTATCACAACAATACCTATTCGTTGTCCACAACTCCATGACTATGTTTACCATAAAGTCGTCAAAAAATGGGATCCACTGAATGGTATACTCATGCGTTCAAACCTCTCATATATAGGATGCGATCAACTCTTAACCGGTGTCTGAGAGGTTTGATAACTCGTGGTATTGTCCATAAATCGGACACTGACGTCGCTGTTGTGGTGCTATCCGTGAGAGCTATTGTATGCTTAACACCGTATGTATACCACAATATTCTTGATATTCATATATCACTACAATATATCATTCATACCATTAATTCACACACCAATGGACAGTACGGCGGACACTATGTCTGATACACTAGATGACCATCAAATTGAACCAGGATGTTTGATACTTCATAATACACTGTGCAGTACATGTTATTACATGATTCAGATAGAAAGGATCTTGCTCAAATAGATGGAGCAATACGTGAACAAAGACATTGTCTGCACTGGATATCTACAAATGGAAGCTGCCTTAAGATGAACCAGCTAGTTTTGTCACAATAATTATTTTTTTTAATCCAATATATTTTATTTTTTAGTAAAGTTAGCTGTGTAATTAGCTAATTTTATTAGTTTAATTCTTTAATAATATTTCATTTAAATCATATAATTTTGATATTTATATTTTAATTCAGATTTTGAGTTCAGTCCAAAAACACTGTTAAATGAAAATATTAACTTATAGTTTGTTCGCCACTGACTATACCTTATATTTGACGAATAAAGTGATTCGGTATATGAAGACATTTATTCATTGTATCGACTTTAAATATAAGGTGCAAAATGTTGTCATTAAATATAAAGTGGTGTATATACACATGCGTTACCATACACTGCATGCATAGTCAACCACATTAAGTTATCCATACATAACGTATACGTTAATATGATACCTACTTTTTAGCAATAATTTAATACCTGGGTCTGAGGGGTGGCCCAGAGAGGAACTGTCTGCACCTCATACGGACGTCCCGGGTTCAAACCCCGTCCGGGAAACATGATTTTCAATTCAAAAAAACAAAAAATGAAAGCTGTAGTTATCCCTCAATCACAGGGACGAACAGGTATGCCCTCTATTTTTTTGGTTTACTAAACATAACTTTTTAAATTTAAAGAATTTCTCTCGAATGGACTTATATACTTTATATTTTAAATTTTTGTTTAATGTGAGAAATAAAGTAATTCAGTAACGAACAAACTATTCATTTCAAAATAATCCGTAAAAATGCTTACTATTAAAGTTGTTTTATAAATATAATTACAGTATCATTAATTTTAAAAATAAATTTTTAATGTTTTTATACTTTTCCTAAGTGAAAATATAGTATACCTTGGTATAAGTTTATTTTGGAAATTTAATTTTCTTATAGTTAATTACTTATAGTAAATAAATACAGTAAATATAATGTGTATATAATTATTAAAGAGTATATAATGTTAGCTTGATACGGTCATATTCTGAACTTCGAAACATTGTATGAATTTTTTATTTATATTTTAAAAATTAACTTTAAGTATAAACAGGATCAATAAAAATTATAAATTAATAAATACAAATTATTTTATTATCACAATTGATTCATTTATTAATTATGAATTCAAGTGAATATTTTCTAACTTCTCTTCAATTCTTTCATATTTTGCATTAAAATATTGCGCAAAAAACTTGTAATCATTTTGTTGAATGAGATTTAGTGTGGAATCAAATGTGGGATTAGTTTTGAGACAATTCTCATGAATAGACCATAAGTTATATTCCGATAATACTTGTGAACACTCGGGTCTCGCATTTGGGTCGCCTCTCAAAGACATTGAAACCAATACTCGTTTCAATTCAGCGATACATTTGTTTAGTATTTCTTTATCTGATGAATACCTTTAGGAGTTATAAAATATAAATACATTTATATTACTAAATAAAATACACTTCTTAACAATAAATTGTTTTAAAATTACTTACGTATTGTAAACCATATAACCAAAAATATCTTTTTCTCCAATTTTGGAAATACTGTAGACATCTATCATATGGTTATACGTGTAGTCATTCCACTCCACTTCCGGCGCACAATAGTCCTTATCTCCGACAACGGACTTGTGTTTGTGAACAGTAGCCAAACCAAAGTCACATATTTTGAAAAACCTGCCGTTCCTTACGGTCTTCGCCAATAATATGTTATCGGGTTTAAGGTCTCTATGAATGACCGGAGGTTTTAATTCATGTAAATATTGAACGCATTCTAAGATCTCTTTGAATATATGACACGAAATGTAAAACTCGATTGAATTCATGGGTTCTTCCGGTTGTCNAATATATGACACGAAATGTAAAACTCGATTGAATTCATGGGTTCTTCCGGTTGTCGACCAAATACTTGTGGTTTGTGTTGAAGAATATTCTGCAGACTATGGGAACATAACTCCATTTGAATGTAATACACTTTTTCATCGTTCCATTGACTCATATATTGGACACAATATTCTGACCTAAGTTTTATCAATTTTTGCATTTCTACGTAACATTCCAACAAATTTTGGTTATCTGTAAAAATATATTTTAATTCTGTACTCCTATAATAAATAAATGCAATACATTTAATTACTTTCAAGTTTTATTTTCTTAACCGCATATTCTCGTCCATCATATTTCTCTTTAACAACAAATACTTTCCCAAAAGCTCCCGAACCTAATAAATGTAACTCTTCGTACAAACGCTTGTAATCATTGACTTCGGAAATAACTATAAAACAAATTAAATCAATCCATTCATTCATTCATTCAGTTTTTTAAAGTGTCATTCAAAAGTATGTATTAAGAGGAGAGGGGTAGAAGTCAGAAAAAATATATAACATTTTCCATCAATCATAGCATCCAATAGTGTACTGTATTCATTGACTCCAATAATGGGTTTACTTGTCATAAATGTCTGCAATTGTGATAAAATGTGCGAACATTCGGGTCTTTTCCTCCAATCTGTTGAACCATTTTTACGATACTTATTGACAGCCATTGACACCAATAAGTAATTCGTTTTATGCATACGTTCATTGATATCTTTATTATATTTTGTGTTGGTTTTAATCCTATAATTGAAATATTATTATGAATTATACGAGTTATATTATACATATTAATACGAGTGATTAAAATATTTGTATAAAAAAAAGTATTTTAAAAAGAAACCATACTTTCCGTCGATTATATCGTTTACATTGAAACCAAAGATTTGAGACCCAATTAGAGATAAACTGTAGATATCTATTAAATGGTTGTATTCATTAGTCTGGGCTTCCGGTGCCTGGTATGACAGGTCCCCGACATCAGCCGTATGTTCTGCTTTGGATGCATTAAATTGATCACAATTTTCAACCTCTTTAGCCAAACCAAAGTCGCATAACTTTATCCTGTAGTCCATTGAAATCAACACATTATCCGGTTTGAGGTCTCTATGAATGATATGCTTTTCGTGCAAATATTGCACACATTTTGTGAGTTCACGAAATATTTGATACGATATATAAAACTCAGAAATAGTCATCAATTCATTAAATAATGATTTCTTAGTTTCCAAAAAATTGTTGAGATTATCGATACATAACTCCATTTGAAAGTAAAGACAATTGCCTTCAATCCATGAATAGTAGTATTGAATCACAAACTTTGACCGAAGTTTCACAAGACTTTGCGTTTCATTCAAAACATTTTCTTTTTCTTTTTCTGTCAATCCTTAGAAAAATCCAAATATAATAAAAATGATCATAATTTTGCAAATAAATAAAATATGGTCTGTTATTTTTTTGAAGTAGTCCAGGTAGATAGGGGTATAATATTACATGAATGCACACACATAAGCACAAGCATGCAATTACTCTCCCCAAAACTGAGAACACGTGACTATTTGTTTGTCCAGCACTTATTACCGATAACCCTGTCCTTAGATATGGGAAGAGTAATCACATGCTTGTGCATATGTGTGTGCGTTTATGTAAGTGTATACCCCTCTAGCAGCCTATCTACATGGACTACCTCAAAAATAACAGACTGTATTTACCATTTAATAGACATTCCTTTATTGCATAGAATTTATGGTCACATTTATTTTGAACTTTATATACCTGTCCATATCTACCCTCACCAAGCTTTGTTATTACGTCAAATGACTTTTCAAATGATATTGAATTATTCAACTTATCGTGAGTTTCTATAATAAAACATAATAAGAGTAATCAATGCAATGCACAACATATTAATTCAACAATTATGGCATTATTGTAATATTTACCAAAAATGTGTTTATTTTGTTGAATATGTGTTGAAATGGTATTAAAAGTGATTTGCCTTTTATTTAAAAAGTAATCATCAAATGAAGTATAAATTGTTTCAAACAGATCTCGGTCAAAAATTTCATATATTTTATCTCCAGATTTGCCCACAATTACTGAGTTATGTTTTTGTTTGATTTCATTGAACACAAAATGTGACAATATTTCTAAACACTTTTTACGAAAGTCATATCGATATAATTGACCATGGCTAGATAGTAAATATGCACATAAAGAACTTTGTGGAAGTGCATTATGTATGTTAATTTCAATTTCTAATAGATGTGGTGTTCTTATTATATTATAGCGACCTACCTCTCCCCCATATAAGCACCTGTCCTTCACAAGTAAGAGCAAGTGATGTACACTCATTGCACTCTATTTTATTAATTTTATATTCAGTGGCAAATTCAATAGGAGTTGGATCTAATTGAATACTTTTATTGCCACAACCAGCCTGTCCCTCATCATTACACCCCCACCCGAATACCTGTCCATTTGATGTCAACACAATTGTGTGATAATCACCACAACTTATTTGTGAAATAATTAAATTGTTTGTTTGGAAATATAATATAGTANCACCATTTTGTATAATTATTATACAAATAAATGTTTATTGATTATTAAATTAATATAATTAATATTCATGATTATTATTATTTGTGAAATAATTAAATTGTTTGTTTGGAAATATAATATAGTATCCGGTTTATGATATACATTCCAACCCCTATCCACATGCCGTCCCAATTGTCCCCAATAATTACGACCAAAACTGAATATCACATTATTATCCGTATTGACAGCCAATACAAAGTTCCATCCATTGAAAAACTGATGTATATTCTTATGGTATATTTCTGGCACTGGTTGTGGTGTATGAATGGGTGTGTTGTGTCCTAACCCGAGCTGACCCGAGCTATTATATCCCAATCCATACACCATATCATCAAATGTCACAAACAGTATGTTATGTGTGTTCCAGTCATTGAAAACATAAAAATATTTAATTTCTTGTTTTAAATGTGTTTGAATTAATATATTTTTCAAAATTTTAGTTCAAAGTCATCACATAATATGTGGTGACAACTGTACAGTATATAGATTGTCAATTTATTAATATTTGTCACAAACAGTATGTTATGTGTGTTCCAGTCATTGAAAACATAAAAATATTTAATTTCTTGTTTTAAATGTTGTGGTATTTGATCACAAATTTTATAATTATTAATTACAGTTGACATTTTATTAAATAAAATATTTTTCACAAATAATAATAATCATGAATATTAATTATATTAATTTAATAATCAATAAACATTTATTTGTATAATAATTATACAAAATGGTGACAATTGATATTAATTATTGTATAATTTCCTCCACTATATTGTAGATAACTATAATAATACGTATCATAACTTTATTAAGAAAAACAAATATCGTTTATATGATTATTGCTAAGCAAATAATCAGCCAGGTTGTTGTGATTATTAAGTATTCTGTACAATAGCGTAGTGTATCTTATATTAATAAATTGACAATCTATATACTGTACAGTTGTCACCACATATTATGTGATGACTTTGAACTAAAATTTTGAAAAATATATTAATTCAAACACATTTAAAACTATACCAAACTGTACCTCATTTATTCAACATTCATTTGATATACTCTATGACTGAACAACTAATTATAAATCATTTTTTATTTTTCAGCGAGAAATTTGTTAATTATTTAACTAAAAATAATTAAAATAATTAAATATATAAATGTAATATATTTATATTATTTATTGGTACATATATGATGTAATAAAATTACATTAAAATTACTAATTAAATTTAATCAATTAAACAAATTATTAAATGATATTTAAGTTTTCATAAAAATGTGCTTTTTACAAAAAGTGTAACCCATTATATTTATACATAGGATTTTGCATAGAGTGGAAAATAAAAAATAGTTTTCATCGGGGACAAATAAGAACAAATTATTTTTAATTAGTTGTTCACAGTCATATTCACAATCAATAACAAATGAATTTTGTGTTTTAATTAATCTGATTAGTAAAGGTTATTTATAATTTAAACATTAAAATTCATTAATAATAACAATTGAATTATATTAAAAATTAAATGCATTTTAGTGTCGATATTTGCCTCTACTTTAGTCCTAACTATAGTAAACTATTTACAGTCTGTTTACAAAATCAAAGAACTCTTTTATGTATATTCTTTTATATATATTCTTTTATATCTATAATATAGATATACAGTACATGTCTGTGTCATACAAACTACAGAATCTGTGCTGTAATACAGGTGCTGATGGTTGGAGAGCCGGTGGCCTTGAAATTCTGGGATCCCTTGTTATCCTAACAGTTAGTTCACATGTAATCCTATGGGGGAACTGGAGATCGAGGCATTCAGTAGACAAGTCGCGTGTGTTGTCAACCAGTTATTGCACAATAAATTCATTAAATTTAAATAGTTTTATTGAACCAAGGTGAAATACTAGTTCAACTGTTTTATTACTAATGTTTTGTGATTACATAAGACATAGACTGAGGTCTTAGGGTTTGATAAAACTTTTATTATGAAAATTGTATTTCAAATAATGTCTTATATTATTGTTATTATGAGATATCTCTTCGAACAGTACTGTCAACGCATTGGTGACCACAATAGGGGACCAACTCGTGGCTGACGTCCGACAGGCTGTCGGCGAAGTGGTGACCAAAATGGCGACCGAAGCGGATGTCGACAAGAAGTAGATGTGGGACTAAACCCATCGCTTCAGCCAATGATAATCTGGAGGACAACCACATGAACGTAATGACACATCCGGTGCAGTGATATACTATCGCAACGGTTGGACCGACGGCATGGACACAGATGCGACGGATCAGTCACTCGTGGAGTCGCTGTCCAGACGTCACGAGCAGAAGCACAACGAAGACGATGTCGGCGCTCAAGATATTAGCGACCGATTCGGTGACGACTCGAGTGTCAGGAATTCATACCTCAGATCTCGTGGACTATTGGATCCCGAAAACTGTGGTCAATGGTAACGGCTATGAGGCGAACGATTCCGTGTGTTTCGATACACACGACACGATTGGATGGAAAGGATCACCACTTTTACGCCCAATTAGTTCCGCAAACGTTTCGGTGATTACGAGGCTTTGGCTGAAGGGGAGAGCCATCTGTCGGCGCCCACCCATACGTCCGATAAGCGCGGTGTCAATTACTTCGCGCTCTGGAAGCTCTCCAAACCGGGCGAATCCTATTGGCGCTCTCCGTGTGGGGAACGGGAGGTCGGGGGCAGGCATATAGAGTACTCGGCTATGGCCTCGTCGCTGATTGGCTACCAGATGGACATACATTCGGGCGGTTATGACCTGGAGTTCCCGCATCACAACGAGTTGGCGCAGTTGGAGGCCTATTACGACACCGGGGAAGCCGTGGGTCCAGTATATCCCGCACTCCCGGCACCTGACGATCAGTGGCTGCAAAATGTCTAAATCTCTGAGAAATTCATCGCAATTAAGGCGGCGCTCCGGAGGAATACGTGGCGTCGGTTGATGTTTGCTTTTCTGTTGCACCTCTGGAAGGAGACCCTCGACTACAGCGACAACACTATGGCTGACGCTATACTATACGAAAAGTTTGCGAATGTATGTCCACTTTGGACGCACAGACACTCTCTGTTCTTTGTTTTTGACATTTGCATTAATTTGTGATTTTTATGCGTTTTATGTTTTGAGGAGTTTTCCTGACTGTGAAAGACCTGATCCGTACTGGTCTACCAGTGACAATATGGAGGTACCGGTGCACTAGTTTTAAATTACATATGTAAGTAAATAAAATGTTTAATATAACACAGGATTTATCTAAAATAAATGTAACTTGGTTAATTTTATCTAACTTAACTTTATCTATTATTATAGTTTATGTTACGTTTTTTTGTTAATTTTTCTACACATACCTGTGCACTATCTATAGTCCTACACTACAGGTATTTAAGGTGTAGTTCCACTAAATATATGCCAATTACATTCAAACTAATTTAGAAATTTCTATTA